TTGATATGCATCAGTTTAAATCAGCAATTGATATAGAGGCGAGGCAAATCCTAATCTTATATTTTGTATAACCCGAACAATGAAACAAAAGAAAAGGATAGAGAGGAAGAAGTATGAAGATATCTTCACATGTGTGTAATCATGCCGTGGATATGACAGAGTCTTTCTCACATGGATTGTTTAATGGTTACCCGTCTGTTGAATATTTGAAGATTTCATATATTGACTGATCAAATCAACAATTTAACGAACAAACTTTTTTCACATGATGATTATTGATTTATATATACGATAATACGAACACAAGTAGATAGAGTTTGGTGATATAACACTTGAAATAAGGAGAATCTAACGCTCTACATCTACTTATTATCTTTGTAAACTTTATACCCTAGTTTGTTAATTAGTGGCAATGAGTTGTTATGGACTAAAACATAACCCCTTTTAAAGCTTTTGTAGATCTCGTTTCCTTTTGACTATTAACACCAATATAAAACCTTTTAAAAAGAGCAAAAAGAGAGTATTCAATTTGAAGAGCACAAAAAAGTGTGTAGTAGACGAAGTGCTGAAAATTGTACAAAAAGAAAGAAAGTAAAATTGTTTTTCGCATTTGTTCTTAAAACCACTCTTTTCGGTTGCTTCTCTACTATTAAATCCATTCTTAACTTGATAAGACGTGTTTATTCACTGATTTTTAAGAGAAATTGCCTTAAATGGCACTAAATGAAGTTTTTGGGACATAATTAGCATCTAAATGTTTTTGTGACACACACATATCATTTCTCCTTTATTTTTAATTATAACCAATAATATAATTAAGAGAAAATAAAGAGAAAATAGATCTCATCGTGAGATAACGCACGACCATCGACAGCCATTTCCGATGAAGCTTCCGAGCTCCGACGACATTTCTGACGAAGCTTCGAGCTCTGATCTGCATTTCCGACGAGGCTTCATAGATTTGATCTTCAATCAGTTATTAAATCGATCTCTTTCTCCAGAAATTTCCAATTTCTTCATCTTCTTCTTCACCAATTTTGTTGACAAAATTAGACGAGTACTGTTGTTTAATGGCGTTCTTCTTCACCATTGTTGTTTACTGTTGTTTAATGGCGTTCAATTTGTGAATTGATTCGTGAATTTGTTGATTCAATTGATTTTCAACACCTATGACATATTTGCCTCTTTGAATCGATTTTGAACAGCTACTCTTGTTATCTCAGGAATGTACCATCCACAAACATGAAAAAACGAGCCTAATCTCTGAAATAATTGTAAGTCTTGTCCAAGTATTTGAAAGTTTTGCAGATTTTTAGTGTTCTTATACTATATGGATCTTCTAGTTTCTTCATTGTATTTGGTTGTTGCTTTCTTTAGGTATGGTGTAGATATGGTGGAGATATACTCTGTTTGTGGGAAGTGGAAACAAAATGAAAAGCTTCAGTGGGATTTCTTAGTAGACACAGAGAAAGGTGGATCCCTTTGTGAGGTAGATGAGAATATTTCATACAAGGGATTAGTTGAGAGTGTTATTGAAAATTTCGGACTTGAGTGTTTAGTCAAAGATATTTCTCTTAGCTATGAACTTCCCCCAAAGCTGATGTTAGAAGATTCTCTACCAATACATGTTCGGAATGATCGTCAAGTTTGCACTTTCATCAAGAAGAAACAAGGAGATCCTGAAATAATTCGTTTGTGTGTAACGGTAAGTAAAAACGTATATGACTCTTTCTTATATTAACTATGGTCAGACTTACACTACATACTAAATTCTTTTCATTTGATTTTCTGGCAGGAACTTCATCGATCAACTGGAAGTGACATCTCATTTTTTGTGCCACCAAGTGATACATGTTCATTGGCTGAAAAAGGACAGGGCAATGATTCATTATTTTTGCCTCATGCTCGAGATTCTGCTGTGATTCCTATAGGAAGTTCACATTCAACGGCTGCACAAGAAAATCAGAAGGTAAAAACTCAATTTCATAGGTTTTAGGAAAGATACATTTAGTTTTGGATGCCCTTCCTAAATACTGCAATATACAGATATGATCGGAACTAGTCGTCTTTGTTTTTTAATTTGAACTGTTTGTTCATATGCCTATCTCTTTTTGTGTTTGTAGGAACCTCATCCTTTAGTTGGAACTTCTTCTATCTCTGCTGCACATGGAATCCAGAAGGTAAATACTCAATTTCATAGGTTTTAGGAAAGATACATTTAGTTTTAAGATGACCTTCCTAAATACTGCAATATACATCATAGTGCACTTATCTTTTCGGTTAACTGTCCTGAGAGAATTCCACAGTTAAGCGTGTTTGGGCTGGAGTAGTTTCAGGATGGGTGATCTTCCGGGAAGTGATTGTCAGGACTTTGTGAGTGAGGACAAAACACAGGGAAAGATCATGTGGTGATTTGTAGGGTCGGTAAACAAGTCTTTAAAGCCTCTCAGACGTAACGGACCGACCGTCGAACAGGGGTGGGCCGATGGGCCCGAGAGAGGACGTGAGGCCCACTGGTAGGGACGGTCGGGGTGCTACAAGTGGTATCAGAGCCGAACCTTGTCGAGTGTGGAGTCAAGAGAGCCCAAGCACGCTTAACTGTGGAGTTCTCTCAAGACAGTTGACCGAAAAGATAAGTGCACTTTGGTGACATACGTGGCCAAATCAATTTTTTTAAACCTCTCCGCATGCACCACCATATTCCTGAAACCGGGGTGTTACAGTAATTGCTTTAAAAGTCACTATTGAGTGAACTTATACTCAATTCATTACTGTATAACCTGAAAACACAAATCAATCATTCTAAAATAAGCAAAATTAAATAATATGTGTTTATAGTTCATAGAAAAATAAATCACAAAATATGTAGCACGGGAAACAAAAATCAAAGTCGCATAATAGTTAATTCGTTTGAAATTAAATCCTGATAATGTGATCGATGTTCAATATTTATATTTTAATGTGCAGGACAAACCGTCATAAATACCTTCTAAAATTTTATATTTTCAATTGGAAAATTTCCAATTAAAAATTTTCGATGCATATTTAAATTTTTATCTACCAAGATTTATAAATATAGAAAAGTAAGCGTTCTATATGTCATTAAAGGTAATTATATATGTATTTTATATTTCTAAAATTTACATTTCTTTAATGTCCATATAGCTTGTGTTTTTTTTTTCTTTTTTACAAAAATCTTAATATAAAAACTATTATAATTTTAAGAATGTTAACTTACGAGGTGGCTAATTGCGGTCGGTTAAAAACTTAGGTGCAAGCTTTCAAAAACTTGTGGGTCGATTGAGAGAGTAAGACAAGAACCCATCATGAGTTCTTACCAATATTTATAAATTAAATTTTGCAAATTCAAAAATTTAGAAAATTCATTAGGAGTTCTTAATTTCTATCTTCTCTAGTGGTAGAACCTCATTAGGGTCCTCTTAAAAATTTAAATTTTGAAAATTTGTGTTTTAAGTGTTTTGGTAAAAACATTTATGTGTTTTGGTTATTAAGAATTTGAATGTTTTTATTGCCAAAAAAAAAAATGAATGTTTTTATTGCCAAAAAAAAAAATTGAATGTTTTGAAGGGATTTGGCTCTTAAAAATTTGAAGTGTTTTGGTTGTTAAAAATTTGAAGTGTTTTTAAGTGTTTGGTTCTTTAGAAATTTGGTTACAACACATATCTAGCAAAGTATATGAACATTTGAGTGTATGAACAAAAACATTTGGTTACAACACATAAAATAAATTTTTGACACGAGCATGGCCTTATACATTGATGAGATCATGGCCAAGCATAAAGGGTATGATAGTAGAAAACAAAATGGAGAAAAAGTTTGAAAATTTGGAAAATGAAATAAAACATCTCATATATAGTCTTGAGGAATTTACAACACCTGACATAAATGGGTGATATTTTGAGCTAAAAAAAAGACCAGAGAGAGAGGAAGAAGAAGATATGTTAAATGAATTTCGAAAAAAAACGACATAGATTAATGGATTAAAGTCTAGGGGGTGTCGGTTTTGCTCTACTTTTAGGTGTTTCAATCAATACAATAAAAACAACATAAGTCTCTCTAGTGCTGACACCTCAACATTTTGGAGTATTCTGGGACTGACAACTCATTAAAATCGCCAACCAATCAAAACATTTCGATTAATACAACTCATACTTCTCAACCAATAATAACTCTTTCCAATTTCACATAACTTAATAATTATTAAATTAAACTCAAGTCGAAGCCCAAGCCCAATTGGTTTAAACTTTTAAAAGAACAACCTAATAATTAATTAAAATAAAAACATCTCAATGCCTAAATTTCTATTAAGAAAATCAATTTAACGTAAGGTGCTTATTAATCATTTTGTAGGTAGTCACACCATTATATGTTTTTTCAAACACGTAAGCTAACATAATTTTTTTTTTTTTCTAAATGCAAAACATGGTTTCTTTTAAAAAGAAGAAAATTGATAGCTTCACGAATGGAGGTAGGTACCAAAAAAAAATTACAAAGAAAAAAAAACTCGTAAAAATATTTAAATTTGAAAATAAATAAAAAACAATATTTCAAAAGTACATATACTTTTCTTCTTAAAGTGCATAAATTTCTATGTTTTGTTTCATCGGTAATTTTAACTTGAAGTCTCAGTTGATGAATCACATAAAAAACTCCATGATCCAAGTGTAAAAGAAAATATGAGTGGTCGATTGAGGAAAAAAAAAGAGAATCATGAAGAATGGGGAAAGAAAGTTTGTGAAGGCTGAAATTCGGAAGAAATTGAGGATATGATATAGAAGAGATCTAATAGGCAAATGGATTGGAGAAAGTTTGCTTACTTAAACTCAAATTTAGATTTTTAATCATTATTCAATGTTTTCAGCTTTACTAAAAAAAAAAAAATCTAAAAAATAGCTCACGGGTTTGATTGAAGCTCTTGGAGCTTCTTAGAAATTCAAAAAAAATTGGCACGATAAATAATCAAACACATGTAGGATTCAAATATTGCTTGTGTACCATAAATGATTTTAACAAAAATCATCTAAAGTTCTTGAAGTATAATAGTCGCTGAAAAAATATTTATATATATCACAATATAAAAAAGGGAAATTGTTAATAATGCCCTCTTTCATATGCTCTTTTTTACTAATACCTCTTTCAGTTGGTAATTTTTAAAAATGCCCCTTTAAAATGTCTAAACTGACCAAAATACCCTTCCTTTTTTTAACCCTAGAATCAGATTTTTTTGTTGTTGTCTCCCTCTCTCTTTCTCTCCCACGAGCGGCGATCTCTCTCTCTCTCTCTCTAATCCTAGATTTAGATCTGTTTCTATCGATCAACACAATCGAACGGCGATCTACTCCTAGATCTGTTTCTATATTCTTGGATTTGTTCTCTCCCTTGTATTGTATTCGATTTCCAACTTCGAATGATTTTCAAGCGTTTCAATCCAGATCTGTGGGGTTCGATTTTGCAAGCGAGATCTATATCACTCTCCATCTGTGTTCGTCTCTGTCAATTCCAGGTAACCGATCTCTGTCTTTTAGAAGCTTTTTTCAAGCGAAATCTGTATATCATCTCTGATTTATTTCACTTCTGGATTTTACAACGTATTTTAAAGGTTGTAATATGCTTTTAAAAAGGTTTTACAAGGTATTTTAAAGAGTTTACAAGGTATTGTAAAGGTTTTACAAGGTATTTTAAAGAATTTAAAAGGTTTTACAATGTATTTTAAAGGTTTTAAAAGGTTTTACAATGTATTTTAAAGGTTATTTCAAAGGTTTAAAAAAGTTTTACAAGGTATTTTAAAGGTTTTAAAAGGGTTTACAAACTATTTTAAAGGAACAAAAACAACAATCGCTTTTGAAATCGAAATTGAAACCGTGAAATCAAACTTACGCTGAAGAATAAGAGATTAAAGAGGATTTTTGTGTGATTACAGAAAATTGAGATCCAGATCTGAGAGATTTCATCATATTGACAGAAGAAAAATGTCGAAATACAGAAACATGACAAATCTAGCGACGAAATCGAGTTTTGGATAAATCAAGGGCGAAGATTCTCTCTCAATCGCTGGATCTCCTCTTGTGAGAAGATGATTGATCTCGGCGGCGGCAGCGTAGTCGACGGCGGTGTGGGTGATGGGAGTTAGGGTTTCTTATTTAGGTTAAATTCATTAAGGGTAAAATAGTCCAAATGAGATAACCTTTTAGAGAAGGGGCAATTTTGAAAATGGACATGAGAAAAGTGGTATTTTTGCTAATCCCCGTATAAAAAATCTAACATTTGTAAGAAATTAAACATATAATAAAACGTAAAATAAAACAAACAAATACAAAAATTGATTATAAGGTAAATTGCTTCCGTAAAAGTAAGATATAAAAGTAATTTATTAATGTATTTATATATAAACTTATAAAATAAAAACAACTAATATACAAGCAAAGGTAAAATACAAAATCCGTGGAACCTTTTAAAATTTCTACCAGAAATACTTATATTAAAACAAACTTTATTTACAAAAACTACTTGAGGCTTCAATTATTTGTTAAATTCACTTTTGTTTTCTAGAAACCACTTGTTATCAAACAATTTCTTCAAAAATAATTTTTTAATTAGCCCCGCAGCGTAGTGCGGGTTTCGATCTAGTTAAGTCTTAAACATGTCATTAGTGAGGTGGCAGCTACGTTATCTACAGTAAACGGAGCGTTAACGACGTCTCGTGATATATCTGTTTTGGCACGGAATAGAAAGATGAGATAGTGAATTTGAATTTTGAGTTAGTTTGGGTATGTATTTGCACACATGTACAGTTGAGGTATGAATCGAACATATGTAGTGAGATTAGGTATGAAAAAAAACGTTTTTCCCATATATGGATGATATTTTGAGCTAAAAAAAGACCAGAGATAGAGAGGATGAAAATTATTTAGTTACAAGAATGAGAGATTGAAGGAAGGACGTGGTCTGTGTTAGATTCTTTTGATATCCTTCATTTGAATTCATGAATGGCCTCAAAAAGGCTCTTCATCTTCTTCTTCCTCCTTTGATTCAGCTGCTCCCTAATATGTCTTTGTATGTGTTCTTGACCTTTTGAAACAAGCCTCCCTGAAACAGATACCAAACAATTTTCTCGAGAATTTTGAGTCTTATATTCTCAATACTACATGAAACCAAACACATGCTTAAAACATTATATCTAATCAGGTTATAGAGAATTGGTTAACCTGTCTGGTTTGAAGACCAGGTTCTTGTAAGTGAACCACTGCCATAGAAAAAACAACATAAATAAACCACATGTTAAGGTCCATCACACAAATGAAAACAAGCTACTAAACAAGTCTTAAAGATTGGAAGCAAGTCTTAAGATTCAGAGAAGCAGCAATCCATCTATGATATCATATCTCTATATGAATACACTAAATTGCAGAGGTTCGTTCCTAAATCCATAAGTGATGCGATGAATCATCTATATCCTCAACACGGATTCACTAAAGCTTGGTTCAACCGGAATCAAAGACAAGACGGTAGAAGAAGAAACTCACTCCTGTGTAACCGATGCCTACAAGTTCAAGAACACCAGGAACCAATGGAAGCCTATCGATTGAAAACATATGTTCCTCTCCTTACTCCTCCATCAAGCAAAACCGAAATCCTACCTCTAACCAACATGAACAACCTGCAGTTTCAGAAGAAGACCAGTTTGTTCATCAAGAAGAATACGCTTGTTTCACTTCCAAAGGAACCTAAACAAAACAAGTTTCATAATGTGAATTTCAATTCTCAATGTGTTACACAAAATCAGCCAATCTAAAAAATATATGAACAAAAAAAGCTATGATCATAGTTTCGAAGCAGCACGAACGCTTTTAATTGCACTTCGGTGCTTCCACAAAGCCAAATTACACAACGATTTCTTCTTCTTCTAGCTAATCCAGACTAAATGATTCACATTATTTAAGGTTGAGATTATACCTCGGCACGGGAGTGAAGCATACGACGGACAACAGATCGAACACTCTCTCGTACGCCGAAGAAAGCGCTGTGATGCCAGTGAGGATGACCTGGCTCGTGGCGGAAAGGTTGCTGAGCCACCTCGGTGTGGGAAACGAGTCCACTTAGAACCAAGAGAAGCGCGACGTATAGGAGAGAAGAAAACGAAGTTGATCGTGAATCCGATCACCTCCATGACTGAAAAATTCAACCGGAGATTTCGCTCACCTCTGAGACGGTTCTTGTTATTATACCCCTCCCTCCCCCTTATTAATGATTTAATTTTAATGAGATTATTGCTAAGAACCCCTCTTAATAGCTAAATTTTAAAAAGCTAAATTCTATCTCCATGCTATTGGGGAGGTTTTAAAGCTTTTAAGAGTCTCGAGATGGGCATTTAGTCATTATAGAGCTAAACTTTTATCTCAAAGTAATTTGATTTTTTTTTACTAATCTCGCGATACAAACAAACCAACACATTAAGTTAATATATTATATAAGATTATTATAGCGCAACTGTTTCCAACTTCTGATCATGTCATGACTAGTCCTCAGAATGAATGCTAGCTCTGATCTTCCGCTTCTTGTTACTCTTCTTCTTCTGCTTCTGCTTCACCGGCGTCTTAATGGCAGGGCTTAGAGAACTTGGGCTAAAAGAAGAAGGGGTAGCTTCAACACATCCGCCTATGATATTGAGAGGGCTCCCTCCGGTGGATAGGATTGACCAAAGCCAAACTGAACTTGCAAGAAAACGTAGATTGCCTTTTCCCTCAGGCTGTGCTAAGAGAATATTGTTCCCATTCTCTCTGAACGTGAGAAGAGTTGTGAAGTAGTGAGGGTTATCTGAGAGGTCCTTTGAGATTACCATCAAATTAGTTGAATAATAACGATGGTCCATTCTCCATATTAAAATGTCCTGAAAAATTGCTCGACATTTCGAACGACTATTTCCTGAAACAGTAAATGGGCGGGGAGAGATCAGATAAGATGGGAGAAAAAAAAAAGAGAGAATTTTAGGACTTAACCAGGTTGCTCAAGCTTGATTTGGGCGGATTCGAAGTCGACTGAGGTCTGCTTGGTAAGTGAATAAGCAACGATTGAAACCCGACCAACATAACCCGCAGTCTTGAGAGCCGATTTGATATTAGCACAGACCGAAGCAGGAGTCTGATCATCAGGGATTGGGCAATCATCCAGGTCCCAGAAGACGCCAGTCTCAGCCGCTACAAGATTTTACAGTAACGAAAACAAAAAAAGCTGTTCAGATATCCGATTGATTACTCTATGACAGGTTATATAAATTAGACACGACTTGAAACTTCAGATATGATTATATCAACAAAAATTAATCAAATGATTATCAGATCGACTAGATTTCATAACAAAAAAACGACTGAAAATCGTTAAAGAAAAAAGGATTGAATCCAATAAATTACAGTACTTGATTAGACCCGCTAGATTTAATACTACAGATCTATCAGATGTAGTATAATCAGGAATTTACAAACAAATTTCAAGGGAGAGAGGCAGAGACAGAACTTACTGTTGGACAATCCGCTGGTCGAGGAAGACATGGTTTCGACTGATGAATTAGGTTTCGACTGCGCCGGAACTGAGAGGTTTTTTATAGGGATCTTAGCATACCGACAAATTCCTATAAAACCCATTAATAAACCTAAGTCGTCTAAAATAGGCCCATTAATAAATAGGCCCATTAAACATCATTTAGCCAATACAAACTGATATATGTAATGCAATTTTTCACGAGTGATGAAGTGTTGGTACGAGCTCAAGAGGAACGTTCTTGGCGATGTTGAAAGCTCCAACTTCTCCCATGTCAATGTCTGCAATGGTCATTCCATCGGGCAGACCACATGGACCGGAGTGGTACATTATCTAAACCAAACCAAATTTATGGAGGGGACAATAAATTAAGGCGCACGATACATTTTTGATAAAGTCTTTGGTCGGCTTATTAAGGACGCGTGTCATCCGATCGCTTAGCCTGTTGAATGTTATCATGCATTTGTGGTCCATAAATGTTCCTTTCTAAATTAATTTAAATAGTTGTATTGGCTAAATGATGTTTAATGGGCCTATTTATTAATGGGCCTATTTTAGACGACTTAGGTTTATTAATGGGTTTTATAGGAATTTGTCGGTATGCTAAGATCCCTATAAAAAACCTCTCAGTTCCGGCGCAGTCGAAACCTAATTCATCAGTCGAAACCATGTCTTCCTCGACCAGCGGATTGTCCAACAGTAAGTTCTGTCTCTGCCTCTCTCCCTTGAAATTTGTTTGTAAATTCCTGATTATACTACATCTGATAGATCTGTAGTATTAAATCTAGCGGGTCTAATCAAGTACTGTAATTTATTGGATTCAATCCTTTTTTCTTTAACGATTTTCAGTCGTTTTTTTGTTATGAAATCTAGTCGATCTGATAATCATTTGATTAATTTTTGTTGATATAATCATATCTGAAGTTTCAAGTCGTGTCTAATTTATATAACCTGTCATAGAGTAATCAATCGGATATCTGAACAGCTTTTTTTGTTTTCGTTACTGTAAAATCTTGTAGCGGCTGAGACTGGCGTCTTCTGGGACCTGGATGATTGCCCAATCCCTGATGATCAGACTCCTGCTTCGGTCTGTGCTAATATCAAATCGGCTCTCAAGACTGCGGGTTATGTTGGTCGGGTTTCAATCGTTGCTTATTCACTTACCAAGCAGACCTCAGTCGACTTCGAATCCGCCCAAATCAAGCTTGAGCAACCTGGTTAAGTCCTAAAATTCTCTCTTTTTCTTTTCTCCCATCTTATCTGATCTCTCCCCGCCCATTTACTGTTTCAGGAGATTATAATGAAAAATTACACACTATCTCTGGTGACGTTTTTATGTGGGCAATGACTCATTTATATGTACCAACAAATCTTCTGATAATCTCAGAAGACTTTGACTACGCCGATGTTCTTATGATCATAAAAAAGCAACACAATAATATTATCTTAGCATTTCCTCATGACACACCATCAGAAATGCTACGTAGTACTGCAAGTTCATTGTGGCTCTGGGCTGACCTATCAGCTGGTGGGAGCCCTCGCAATTGCAAAAGCGGGAGCGTACAAGTGTCTCTACCTCCTACCAAAAAGAAGAAGCAGATGAAGCTGGGGTTAAAACCCTGTCAGAAAAAGCGGAAGAGCAGTTCTAATACTAAGCTTGAGAACTAGTCATGACACTATCACAAGGAGTGTTCTTATGTTTCTTCTTAGGCTTTATCTTAGTAGTACCTTCTTCCTCCCAAGTAAAACTTATGAACTTGTTGCTGTATCTTGTTATATTTGAATTGCCATTTATTAAATGCATCTAGGACTTTTATTGTTCTCTTTCAATTGTGAGAACCTATTGAAATTGGATAGCATAAATTGCAAAGTCAAAGACCAAACAGCACAAATAAAAAGCAATGTTTTTTCATTCACAGGTTCAGAGGTCTATACTATAAACTACTTAGTAATTTCTTCGAGATTTCATCCATTGGATCATACTGATTATTGACTTTAACGTTCACGTTCTCTTATACAAAAGATTCTCTCCCTCCAGATTCTTTGATCTGCCGTCTTCTTGATAAAGACCACTTCAATGAAAAATTTGAAAGAACAGAAACATAATATTGAAGATAATAAAATGACTACTTCATTGGAAAAAAAAAACATGGATTAATAAAAGTTATATTGAAGATAAAAACATGAATATACTTGATTCATAAGCTAGGCATGATAATGAAAAACCAAACTGATATATGTAATGCAATTTTTCACGAGTGATGAAGTGTTGGTACGAGCTCAAGAGGAACGTTCTTGGCGATGTTGAAAGCTCCAACTTCTCCCATGTCAATGTCTGCAATGGTCATTCCATCGGGCAGACCACATGGACCGGAGTGGTACATTATCTAAACCAAACCAAATTTATGGAGGGGACAATAAATTAAGGCGCACGATACATTTTTGATAAAGTCTTTGGTCGGCTTATTAAGGACGCGTGTCATCCGATCGCTTAGCCTGTTGAATGTTATCATGCATTTGTGGTCCATAAATGTTACTCATACAACGGTAACCAACGATCATTATTTCTTATCAAAATCAATATCAGGGCCGGCCCAAGATAAATTGCTGCCTAGAGCGAAATTTGTTTTTGGCCCATTATTAAACATTGAAAAAAAAAGGTTATAAAACATACACTAAGAAGACTTGAACCAGCACCGAAGAGAAAGAATGAAGGTGTTAACCACTCTCACACAATATCTTTTTATAAAATGATGCCCTTCAATCTTTTTATACATATCTTCTGCCTAAAGCCTTTGTTTCACGGGCTTTAGCCTTGGGCCGGGCCTTAAATCATTATGAGATACAAAATGCTTTTAGTTTTACATGATTACAAATCATCCGTCAAAATTCATGCTAAACTTGTTAAATACGAATTATTCTGGAGGAATACAAATTAATTTAGCGATAATGTAAAGTTAGGCTCATAGATTTTTGTAACATTAAAATCGACCCACATAACCACCATACCGAATCAATACCAACAACAATTATAACCCTATCAAATTAGCTTCACAGCAATCCAAAATAGTCCCACTCAATGATTCAGCTCCTTACGACTGTGCATGACAAATGCCATTCAATTATCACATGTAATATTTACTTGGATCAAGACGTGTGGCTATCTATCCACAACTTCTCTTATATCCCACTAACAAATCTATATGAATGTTTTCACTTTCAATTTCTTAAAATTTACTCCACAAACTAATTTAAAATTAGTAAATAATTTGTCTGGTTCTGTCTAGTACATATTACTTCACTTTTCGATCCATCTTTCTACCTAAAAGCAAACTTCATTTTGTTGCAGAAAACATAACAAAATAATGAAACTCCAAAGCTTCCTTGCCTCTGTATTGATGATCTTCTTCCCTACCATTACCTTACTTCTATCAATATCTCATCCGGTTTCAGCTAACCGATCCAATAACGCCGGTTTCCTCCAATGTCTCTCTTTTCGGTTTAACGACTCTAACATCGTCCAAAAGTCATACACACACCAAACGACACTTATTTATCCTCTGTCTTAGCTTCATCAATACAAAACCCGAGATTCTATATTCCTGAACTGGTTTTAATCATAACTCCGTTTCAACCTTCCGATGTTCAATCAGCGGTTAAATGGGCAAGCCGTTTCGGTATTCCCATCAGAACCCGAAGCGGAGGACATGATTACGAAGGCCTCTCTTACGTTACCGACAAACCATTCGTAATCCTCGATTTAAGCCTATAAAAACTAGGTCGTCTCTCAGGCACAATAATCGAGGACAGCCGCATGATAAAGTCTCGTCTATCTTTATTATATGCTTTTTCCTAGCTAGGTGTTGATTGAGTTTTTATCCGTTTATGTTTTGTTTTTTTTACGTACGTTTATGTTGAAAAAATATTAGAATCAGAAGTTTGGGTGTTTAACCATCTCTTCCCTTAAATTTAGATTTTGGAAGTGTATAATAGGATCGAATCATCTTTATGTTTTTGCTTGGTTTTTGTTGAACAAAGAAAAATGAATTTCTTCTCAACTTAAAGTCTTCAGCATCTCTTCAGTACTGAAATCTAGAGTTCAAGCTAGCGACATATATAGCTTGATCCTTAGGGTTCTAAGGTTTTTTTGTATGTCACGCAATGCAACGGCTGCAATAGTTGGTATCAGAGACATCAACAATTTTTCTATAATGCCGCATAATTAGATGATCATATATCATATAGAAATGATAATTTGACTTGTATATTATGAGACGAATTACAGTAAGTTACACACACAGACACAGGTTGAGAGAATCAGATCGTAATATTTTTTTCATTTATATGATTTACCAAGTCAAATTGGAAATAAATCATACTGGCAAATAAATTACAATCTTTCCTTTTTGGGTAACTCAAATTCAACTTTCTATTGTTGGTGTTGAGTACAACGACCATATAGTATTGGATCTCATGTGTAATATAAAGTCATCGTTGTGTTTCAATCAACATCAATAGAAAAATTGTTACAAATAAGGAAAATTATTTGCGAAAAAACACAACCTATTACCTATATATACAAAAACAACAAAAATGAAGAGTTTTAATTTTTGTACCGGTTCTTCTTGTGCTCGTCATCTTCTCTACTGGTAAATAATTTTATCGTTTATATACGTTAAAAGGACATTTTTTCATGAATTACAGTATTAGTATATATAAGTAAGTTATTTCATCTCGTAAGTATGCAAGAAGTTATTTCATCAAAAAAAAAAAAAAAGTTTAATCGATAAATTTTATTAAACTAAATTAATTAAACTAAAAAAAGTTTGATGCATGATAGAAATTTGGTTTTTAAAAAATAATATACTAAATATTAGGAAAAATGTGTGGATTAGTATTTTAAAAATATATATATTTCTTACACCCCTCTATTTAGACAGGACTTATCTAGTTTATATATGAAATACCTCAAAAATTGTGTTTTCTGACCCAAATCTTTTTCCTTTGAGCAACTCCGCTTTATATATTTTAATTGTTGTCCATATTGAGTGGGCTAAATTTCTAAAAGTTAATAAAAAGCTTCAAAAATAATAATTTTTGTTTTCTTGTTATTAATCCAATCAAGAAAAATTATTTTTAGCAAAAGAAATCTTTTTTGACCACAACTTCTGACTTCTTTTAAATATCATTATGGAAATTTACCCTAAATTATATACTCCCTTAATCATCCTAATCATGATATTTCGTAAACTGCTAGAGAACAATAAAGAAACAATTAGATAATCTAAATTATATATTCATGTTAATGTTTAAAATTATTTTTTTAATAATGCTTTGACAAAGCTTTTCAAACATTAACTATGGAAGAATAATTCAATTTTGCTAACCAATATATTATTTATATTTATATTAATTTTAGATAATTTGAGTACTTATTTATTAGTATTAGAAAATTTATCTATTTTATTTAGATAATATCTTAGTTATTCTATCAATATTTATAATTATTTGGTGATATTTTCAATTAAACTCTTAATTATTTTGACACATTCTGTAAAAAATAACAAAACAAATCAGCAGTTCAATTTGGAAATATAAACTTTTAGCCAAATTCAGTTGAAAATCACTAAAAATTCAGCGAGATTCAACAATTCAGCCGGATTCCTCGGTTACCGTTTAGACCATACTCTTCTTGTTACTAGACATTAGCCTTTACCAAATCCCATTTAGTACTAAGCTTAAGAGGACATGAGTGATTCTTTAATTTTGATATGCATCATTAATAAAAAAAAATCAGTGGTTGATATAGAAATCTTAATCAAATCATAATCTTATATTTATAACCCCGACAATGAAAAAAAGAAGATAGAGAGGGGAGTATTATGAAGATATCTTCACATGTATAGTAATCAATGCCATAGGAGTCGTTCTCACATGGATGTTTTATGGTACCAATCTTTGAATATTTTGAAGATTTCAATAACTCAAATCAACAATCTAACAAACAAACTTTTGACATGTCCGAATTGATAATAACACATGTATAGATAGAGTTTAGTGATAAATCACTTGAAATGAGGAGAAGCTAATGCTCTACTTCTAATTATTACTATATGTGTAGACTTTATACAATGGTTTGTTAGTGGAAAATAAATGAGTTGTTATGGACTAGAAAACCTAATCCTTATTTAAGTTTATATACCTCTCATATCTAAGATACAGTAGAGGTTGTTCAAACAAAATAATCTAATATACAGTAGTAATAAAAACGTGTGTAGACGAAGTAATCAAAAGGGTTTTTCGACAAAAAGAAAGAAGTGAGAATTGAGTATATCCATAAATACGTCTAACCAATTCAGGTAGGGGAAAGATAAGAACAAATTCCAAATTCCAAATTCCAAACCCAATTTCTCACTTTCTTTCTTTTTATCTATGATATATTAAGAACCTTAAAACGAGATTGCTTTGGGAAGTAGGGGAAAGATAAGAACAAATTCCAAACCCAATTGCTTACTTTTTTTCTTTTTATATATGATATATTAAGAACCTTAAAAGACTTCTACATTAAGGTAAATGCAAAACCATCTTTAATCAGATTTCAAAATATTACTACACTGTCTATTTTTGTGTGTCATCTCAGTTTGGTGATTTGTTTCTACAGATGTTTTATAGCAGGTTATCACCTCAAACACAATATCTTTGGGATCTAGACCTATTTATTCAGCTGAAAGATGAGAACAAGATTGTGGATCCTCATAAAGAAAATTCGTTGTGTTCACGTCTGAAAGCTAGCTGAAATGCTTCACCCTTTACGTGTCATAATTACAAAC